CAAAAGTGTAAAAACTTCAACTGAACGTCTGTATTTTAAAAAACAGTTCCCGGGATTGCTTTGGAGTGCCGATATATCAAGTGGTTAGAACAGGCCTGAGCCGTGTCATTAATATAAAAATAAATAAATCTCTTGCAACAGTTGGAAAGTGTCTGCCCTCGCATTCCAAACAAAAGAGGAAACTTTACGAAAATGCACTGCTACCTCGACACAAAAATTAAGCTCTGCAATTGTTGGGATTGAAAAGGACAACAAAGGAACGAGACGGGAGAAAAAAAAGAACAGAGGGGAAGGTTGCGATGTGCTGTGGCTGGCCTGGCTTGCTTATTACAAGGTTATAAGGGTGGTGGTGGTGGGGGCGGTGGGGGCTTACTGAGGTCATTAACTGGCATTGTCTCCTGACGTGATTAGTCAGGTAGCAAAGTCCATTTGTCACCTGCACAGGCAAATTGAGTTGGTGCTGCACTAGAGGCTATGGGGACTGTATAATATCAACTTGATTACATCAAGGCAGCTGCGGACTTGACACCTTACTGAATTTGTCAGCATTAATCGTTAGGGCCTGTCACAAATCCATCAGCTCCACAGATAATTAGGGCTCTCTCTAATGAAGCCAACGGGAAGCAACCTTACACCCCCCCCACCCTTATACGCGCACACACACTCACACTCTCACACACACACACACACACACACACACACACACAGTCTATCTTATAATTAACCATCGTGCTCCACAGAAATAAGAGCGACTATCTTATCTGCTCTTCCTCCTCATCTTCCTCCTCTAAGACTGTCTAAGCCTGCCTTGGATGAAAGACGGCGTCACTCCTTCCTGACTTTTAATTGTTCCTGTCTTCTTCACCTGTGTAAGTGTAATAACACATACACAGGAACATTTTTACACATTTTCTGATGCAGGTTTTCAAGGTTTCTTTCCATCTTAGCTTTACCTATAAGGATTTCTAAACATAGATTCTGAAAACTATATTAAGATTTTTTTTCAGTGTCATGAGAGCTACAGTTTTATCTGGCAATTTTCTGTGGATTTTGCTATACACACACACACACACACACACACAAAGAAACAAACTTCAAAATATTACTATAGGAAATCATCTTGGAAATTATTGTTTGAGAAAAAAATTAATGATATGTGAACACCTAAATTGTCTTTATGTAACTGTAAGATCTGCCTTAAAAATTCCTTAACAATTTAAGAAAATATAATAAATAGGCATAATAAAGATTCCAAAAATTCAGCTTTTGCTACAAGACCATTAAAGTGATTTATTTATAAGCTGACTACAATATAGAAAAATGTACTGTAAAATTTGTACAAGTGATTTTAAAACTCTACAATTCTGACTTTCGCCATGTCTGATGTTGTGGATATTTTATGCAGGATTTGGCCTTGAAACACTAAAATAAACATCACATAACAAATAATATTCTCCAAAAAAAGGTGAAATGTGAGAAGAAAAAAAAAGAAACCTGTCGAGACAAGTCTGCTATTGTTGTTTTAATTGTCTGAGCTCTGATTTCCAGGCACGGTCCCACCATGAGCAATTTCCTCTCTGAGCAGCAGCACAGAGAGAAAGCCACAGGTCAGTACCAGCTCCCAGTGGAGCATCAGGCTAGCCTAGTGTGTGTGTGTGTGTGTGTGTGTGTGTGTCTGTGTGTGTGTGTGTATGTGTGTGTGTAAGTTATTTGTTGCTACTGGGAGCATGGAGTGGAGGGCGTTATCTCTGACCGACTGTCATGTTCATGGAAGAATGGAAAGCATCCCGTCTGCCAAGCTGTGATTGACCATTACAACCCATGATGCGCATGGCACTCAGTGGACAGTGTAATGGATCAATGGTGTGTGTGTGTGTTTTGTGTGTGTGTGTGTGTGTGTGTGTGTGTGTGTGTGTGTGTGTGTGGTGAGAGAAAGGAGGGGAGGGAGGGGTCACAGCGATGTCATGTTTTCATGCCTCCATCTACATGCAGAAACTAAACGGGAGTCACTCTGCTCCCACCATGGCCGACCTTTTCCAGTAGGCTATTTTGCCAGAACAACAACCAAAACTCTCTCTCTCTCTCTCTCTCTTCTCTCACACACACATACACACACACTCAGAAAAGTCAAGTGAGGCTCAATATCTAAATCTGAATCCTTTCTTCATAGTGTGGGCCAGAAATCATGTGTAAAACTGCTCTGCCAGGAAGGCAAGGCAGAAGGAAAGAAGTCGACAGCGAGCACCGGTTGAATGTTCTCCATCCTACACTCCTTCTCATCCTCCTCCTCATTCTCATCACCACCATCATCACCACCAGCTCCCCGCTTTAAATGATAAAACCTGCTGAGTTCAAAGTCTTCGTCGGCTGGCCCTCCTGTTCGACCCGCTTTGCACCTCATATTTCAAAATCTCTTTAAAATTCTGTAACTGTCTTTTGTTCACTCCAGTTGTTAATGCCTAACTTCAAAGGCTCGGCCTCATTAGCACAGAGGTAGAAACCCCTGTCACTCATTTACATTTGTTTAAAGGCTGCAGGGAGACGAGAGGAAAAAAAGGGGGAGTCCAAATCCAAACCACTAGAAGTCAACCTTGTCGGTCCTCTGCCAAGACCTGGTTTTATCAGTTGGTCACATTGCAAATATAATACTACCCTCCAGCAGTGGATATTGATTTCATTACTGGACTGATTCTTACTGTGAATGTGGGGTGAATTTGGATGCGAACGCGCAAAAAAAAAAAAAAAAACACTCAACATTTATCTGTGTGAAGAAAAGGCATATGAGGGGAATCAAACACCTGATTAAAAAGGAGTGTTTGGACTGAGTTTCCCTCTGATCTATTCAACATACACACCGTCCTTTCATCTGCTTTTAGCGCCTACCCTTAAAATAAAATTAGGTGATTTTCTACCATAATTCTCAACTTTTTTTTTGCTTTTCAGTTCCTGGTTGAGACAACAGGAGGGTTGTTGTGTGTGAGTGGCTAAACATACCAAAGGCATGCCTGTCTTCATGGAAGGATTTATTGATGTTTATCAGGGATGAATAGATCAAAGACTGCCACATGACAGGCGATCAATCACGCATCAAATCAAGGATGGCAATCCTCTAATAAAATAGAAAGAAAGGAAAAACCGGCTCTCACCAGTTTTCTCCCCCTTCTTTCCCAGTCAATTATTCATCATTACTCACTCTTGAACCTCAAAAGCTCCCTTTTATCCCCCATAACATGCCATTTAGTTTATCTCACCATTCTTAAGAGAACTTTCCTGGCAAAGGAGGATAAAAAAAAATCTCAAAGTGGCATTGCGCAGACATGTGCGTCATTTGCGCAATTAGACACATTTTAAACACAACTGTGGGTCAGGGGTTGAACTGCGCGCTGTGTTAATAACACAACAAATGTAATTTAAAACAGAGTTGTAAAATAAATCTCAGCATGCAGCACAAGTAACGAATGTGATGTGGAAGGAGATATTCTCATTTGGTACTTGTAAATAAAAACTAGTTGGCTACTGGGATGGGAAATGGTCGTTATAGAGGGGCGGGTTATACCTGCTGATCGCCGCGGCTCTTGCTGCTTTCTCCTCGGCATAGTGACCGTCACTCTCCACGGTGCTTCTCATGCAGGTATTACAAACAAATCAAGTCTCTCAGTTTTGGAAAATCATCCCGTTTTTCGGGGGAAGGGGTTCTGATCTCGGAGCTGAAAATGTCTTCTTTTCAAACTGGCTGCTCTTTTTTGGACTTGATTTCTGGATCGGCTTTGACAATAAGCACAGAAACTACGAAGGGATTCGGCCAGCTCCTGACACCTTCATGTCCATCAACGATCATCTTCCTTCATGTCTCTCATGGCAGGGTAAAAAAAAAGAAGCAGCAGCAAGAAAAGCACCTTGAAACCCAAGTTTTCAGTTCACTCCCCCTGGAAAAAAAATCCCCCTAATCTCCAGTGCTGTTTGGAGGGGGACGGTACTTTGCTGCGCCTTTTACGCACACCAAGACTAAAAAATAAATAAACTCTGGCGGTAACCAAACAAATAAGTCCCGTGTGAGCGCACTGCACAGCTCTGATAAGTAATGTATCCTTGCGTTTCCTTCTCTTCTTTTGCCAGAGACCTGAAACAGAGAAAGGGGAGAGGAGAAAATAGACAGACAGGCATTAGATGGGTTAATGTCAGTCCCGTCACCACCACGCCACCTCAGCCCGGATCCAGCCTCACCAGTCCGGCGGAGACTTTTTCCTCCCTCCCCTCCTTCCCTCCTGCTCTCCCATTGAAAAAAATAAATGGGACGATCAGGCTTTCTCTCTTACTTACGTTTTAAGAGTCGTGGAAATAATTTCCACCGCTCATCTCATCGCATCATGGACAGAGTCGGGTTTTTTTTTTTGGAGGGGTGGCTGATGCGGTGGAGAGGATATCACTTGAGAGAGAGGGGAAACAAACAAGACGCAGGCGCATCCAAGCTTCGCCAACAACAGATCAGGTCGACATGGACTCAAATATTTGTCTCTTTAAAAAGGCAAAAAGAGGGAGGAAAACTCCAGGGACTGTTCCGAGGTCTCCGAAAAAGAAAAAAATGGAAACGCGGTGGATCCAGAAGCTGTTTCAGACAGTCTCAACTGATAGACAGACGCATCGAGTGGCTTTTCCTGCTACATTTTTACTCCTCCCCTCTCCACAAGCGTCACCCCTGACAGAGGAGCCTACCTGTCAATCTTTTTAATTGTCTTGTTTTCCCCCCTCTCTCTCTCTCCTTCTCCCTTTGCTCCAACAAAAAAAAAAAAAAAAATACCCAAACCACCGACAAAGGAAAGGATCCTTTCGGAACTTAACGGGAGATCAACTAAAGCCAAACTTAATGTGAACATGTATCGCAAACCACAACAAGTACTACTCAACAATGAGCTTGTTACAACTTAAATGTCACGTTTAGCGTATAAAAGCGTGGCACAGACACAGCACGAGTTAGTGGTTCGACTCCCACTGGGGGTGGGACGAGGGTTCAACGGTCCAATATGTTGTAGTAACAGTGTTACATGATTATTCTGAATAGCACCGATTCTTCCAGAAAATGACATTTTGTCAGGTGACAATAGATGGTAACTGCTACACGAAACGTGCGAGAGCGCAATGCGAACCACACACTTTCACAAATCGCTGATGCAGGCTTTGGTTACAGGTGTAACATGTGGCCACAAACATATGTTTCGGCTACGGATCCCTCCACCATAAAAACGCGAATTAAACGGGAGCGCATATGCGCAACACGCTCAGTGATTATGTTTAGTATTTTCAAGATATTTGGAGGAAATACGTCGGGGCTGGTGTTGTTTTCGTGGGAGGAAAACGGTTGAGGATATGTTGGGAGATGAGGATTGATTTGTTTCACCTTACTAGGAAGTGAGCGCTGTGTCCGGGAAGGGGAGGGACTCCGACGACAAGTCTGGGGCGCTGCTGTGCTACTTACAAGGGCTGCACCAGTGCAACGTTTTTAATCCTAAATACAGGATTCGATGCTTCTTGTTTATTTCTGCTTAAGTAACCGAGAGTCCCGCTTCAAAGAATCGCGGTTTCTGATTTTTGTTTAACAGCGCGTTTAGCACGCCTGTGCCCGGGCCGGCCTGCACGCTGTGCATGTGCAAAGGGTGGGAAAAGCCTATAGCGCAGGCTGAAGGCAGTCGGGCTTGTTACTGCCACAAACGTACGTCAAGTTGTCCGTGAACTTTGTCACATTTCGGAGCCATGTTCAGCCCGCTGTTGGTGAGAAACGGCAAGAGAGCGATATCGGTAATCGGCGGGGGGCGCAGAGGCACCGACGCACTTTCAGGAGTTCACCCGACTGCGCGGCGCTTCATCATAGATATGTCCTACTCAGCGCACTTCATGGATTTTAAAGGATCCTCCATACCGAGCAGCATGAAAAAGCTGGTCGTAAACAAGCTTAGTCCTAATTTCAGAGAGGCCGTTTCTATGCAAACCGCTGCGGTTCCGACACCCGGAGACGCGGACTTGCTCGTCAGAAATCGGTAAGTTGTTGTTTTTGAAAGGTGGGCAGAAACAGACGCGAGTGCTCTCTCCCTGCGCGTTCCGAATAGCAATAGGTGACCCAGAGCGTGTCATGGGTCTATTTGTGGATCATTATTTGATGTCGATCTATCACACTAATGTTGAGAAGTTGTATAAAGGGCTCCGCTTACCTCGATTTACCCATGTCCAGCACCTGCGATCATCATCATCATCACAAGATGGCAAAATACGTGAGGAATAAGCGCTGTACTGTAATTCCAAGTTCCGCCCTCTCTGCATTTGTCTATCAATCCATCTCGGCACTCTCTCTCTCCCCCCCCCCTCTCTCTCATTTCTCTCTCTCTCTCTCTCTCTCTCTCTCTCTCTCTCTCTCTCTCTCTCTCTCTCTCTGTCCTCCTGTCTCTCTACGTCACCAAACTGCAAACAGAAAGTCATGGAGGGGGGGCTCAGACTGGCATCCAGAGATGGAGATGATGGAGAAGGAGATGCAGTGTTACATGGCGCGGGAATTGCAGTATCATTTCTCTCATTCGCAGCTGCAGAATCCAGCAGTGTGTGCACGGTTGTAGGGGAGAGTGAACCCACCTGGAGTCAGTCTCCATGCCTCTTTTAGCCCCACACACACAGCCAGTGATTATTATATAAATTCATAAATAGCTTTAGACTACATTTGCTCCTGTAAGGTGGAAAAGACATAAATGAATGCTCTCTTTGAAAGTAGAAGGATTTCTGATTCTATTTCTGATTCCAGCCGGAGGTAATATCTTACCCTAATTTTGATTTACTACTACATTACAGACTGTGTGTATGCCTGATCTGATTTTAACTGTTCCACCAATGCAACTCAAGGTTTATTTAGCTATTTACTGCCAATAAAATATATATATTGTCCGTCAGATTGAGTGGAAACATAGTACGTGATTGTCTCGCTCACACAGTGATCAGCGTGAGCTTGTGAACCAAGACCTTTGACCGTTAGGTTGGTTGTATTAGTGAGGCATCACCGGCATGGGATCAGTGAAGATTTAACTAACTAACAGAAAATACATATTTCTGTTTGTGGAATTCGTGGTGCAAATTGAGAAGCACTTGTCCCATGTTGCACAGCATCAGTGCAATTCTAATGAAATACCAAATATGAAAGTGTTAAACGAGGAATCTCAGAGTGAGACATTGATAATTGAAAAGATCATGACTGCAGTGAAGAGGCGGATTAATTCACAAGGACGAAATGAATCTTTTTTTTGTTCCTTTATTTCAGATGTTACTGGTGACAGCATTGAAGCAGATCTTTTCAACATACAGTAAATCTTCAAGTCTCAAGATTCTTGAGTTTTGATCCATGTGTTCACTTCTGAGTAAAACTTTCAGAAATGTATACAAATGCATGACCTGCACATGAAAGGCAAAAGTGGAACCAAATTATGTGATTATGCTTTTAATTATGTTTTTGGGACTCGACCATCCTAGGTGCTTTTGGTCCAAAATTATACGTTCTCTTTTGATATTTGTTGATGAGAATGCACCCAAAAACTAATAAGCTGCGTATATTAGATTTTCAGTTTTGCTTTAAATAAAAAATATAGGCCTTGAAACTTTTAACATCTCATTTAGTATTTGTCATCACACATATCAGTGACACCTTATAATGCTTGTTGGGGTTTTAAATTAGCTGAAAATCATCTTGGCGTGCTGATAATTAGATTTAAAGGTTTTTGTTTGAACAGATTGTGGTTTTATTGTCCCATATCAGCTCATTTGAATTTATTTAAGCTCAGTATTTTCAGTTATGTACAAAACGGATTCCATGGATGTAAAGTAGTCAAATCAAGGTGTTTTGTTCTATCATTGTGACCCATCTATAAACCACAGAAGCATTATCTACCAGCTCAAAGTACACGTGTGACATGCACAGTAATGAGGCACAGCATGCATGCCGCTCTAAAAGACAGTAAATGATTTATTTATACATTCCTTTCTCACATATTTGTTTCCAACATGTTCCTAAAGTAAGATGAAAACAGCCGTCTTCGTGTTGAGGCAAGAAGCAACTATCTAAGATTTTAAAAGTGCAGTTTGTTGTGGGTGTCTCTGAAGACAATGAATCATGACATCATGCAATGTGTTTTGTGATACAAACCTTTCCCTGTCAGTGCAGGACTGTTCTCTTCCAGAGAAAAAGGAATCATTGCCAAAACAAACCAGAGTGTTTTTGCCCCGTGCAGACATGTCTAGAGAAGGAAGCTGAAGTCTTGACCTTCAGTTAATGACCACATAAATGTTTCTGTACATGATTGTGAATGTTATATGGTGACGTGAACCAAAAGGCACACACAACTGTTTATTTTTCTCCTCTTTAATCCACAAATTTTGTTTTTCTGTGTCTGTATTTCAGTTTTGTGGGTATCAACGCCTCTGATATTAACTACTCTGCAGGCCGCTACGACCCTTCGGTGAAGCCCCCCTTCGATGCCGGATTCGAGGGTATTGGTGAGGTTGTTGGCCTCGGCCTTAGCGCCAGCTCCCGTTACACCATCGGGGACACTGTGGCCTACTTCGGCAGCGGTGCGTTTGCTGAGTATACGGTGGTGCCAGCCAAGGAAAGTGTGCCTGTCCCCGCGGTGAAGGCAGAGTTCCTCACCCTGCTGGTCAGTGGCGCCACGGCCTACATCGCCTTGAAACGTCTGGGGGACCTGGCCAAAGGTGAGACGGTCCTGGTCACAGCTGCTGCAGGAGGAACGGGACAGTTTGCCGTGCAGTTTGCCAAACAGGCCGGTTGTCACGTGATTGGGACCTGCTCATCCGATGAGAAAGCTGGCTTCCTTAAATCCATTGGCTGTGACAGGCCGATCAACTACACCACGGAAGACCTGGCAAAGACGCTGAGGAAAGAGTACCCAGAAGGCATAGACGTGGTGTATGAGTCAGTTGGAGGCAGCGTCTTAGAACTCGCAGTGAACAGTTTGGCCAACAAGGGCCGGCTGATAGTGATTGGCTTCATCTCAGGGTACCAGACCTCATCAGGAATCCCGCCCTTCAAAGGGGGAACACTACCAGTCAAGCTGCTGCAGAAGTCGGCCAGCATTCGGGGTTTCTTCCTGCCCCACTTCCTCAGTGACTACAGGGAGGCTCTGGGTAGCATGATGCAGATGTTTGTCAAAGGGAAGCTAGTGTGTGAGGTGGATGGTGGGGAGATGGCAGAGGAGGGGAGGTTCATAGGCCTGGAGTCAGTCTTCCGGGCTGTGGACTACATGTATGCTGGGAAAAATCTGGGCAAGGTGGTGGTGGATGTGGCACCACCCTCTGTTAGTAATAGTAAGCTGTGATCTAACTGATTGTTAATGCACTAAAAAAAAAAAAATCATACTTGAATTCAAATGATCAAAATGTAGGACTAATAAATTAAAATACAGATTATGTTCTTTATTTTTGTAAGATGATTGATATAGCACTATAAGTAAATTATTTTATGAATAAACATAATGAGCAACTTTATTTTTCTGCTATCATGGTTCTAGAAACTAAGTGAAGTACAAAGGTATATTTTACTATTATTTATGTGAGGATTAAGGAGTCCCTCATTTGTAAGACTGAATTTAGGATGAAAAATAATCTAATAACTATGCACTGATGATAATATTGCATAAATATTCTGATTAAAAATCAGAAACTGTAGGCTCTGTAATTTCACCCAGAAAATATGTTTTACAGTGTTTCCTAATCTTATGTTCCCACCTTCTGGTCCACCTCTGAAATTATTTTAGACCTGCTGCCATAATGCGCTTGCTTTTAGCACTCTCACGCACTTTATCTACCATAAATGTTTTATGATAGACTTCATTGTTTTTCTAATAGGGGCTTACATTGGTATGTGCTTGTCAAAAGTGAGTGCTGCTCCAGGTGTGCTTGGTATTTCATTGCCTGTTTGTGGCTGACAGAAACGGCATTCACACAATCAATCTTTCCATTCACATGCCCAGAAGCTGCACATAATAAAAAAAATTAGTCCAGCTAACCAGGAGTTGGACTAGAAAATGCCATTACTTTCCCCCCACTGCGAGTAAAAAAAATCACTTATAGTGAATGTATTGTGGAATGCCCTTTGACATTTTTTTTTTTTCATTTCCATTTTTTGTATTTAATTTAGTTTTGGAAACAAGAAAGAAAGCAGCACAACATACAGTATGTTAGGGTGTTTAATCGCACGGCAGCTCATTTCCACAAAATCTAAAGATTAGACTTAAAAGATAAGTGTTTGTTACAACTTTAAAAGCCTCAATAGGTGGAAAGTTCCCAAAATCTCACGGGATTGGACATTTTAGTACCCATTTAAAAAAAATAAAATAAAAAAAGGCAATAAGCAGAAATGAGACACTGTATATTGAAGCCCTCCATGTTGTATTAATGTGCTGTATGTTGTGTAAAACAAACACCTGTTCCTACCTGGCAGGGAGGGCTGTAGTGTTCATGCACTGTGAACATGTTATTTCCTCATCCAGGTGGCCACTCAAAATATAACCCAGTGTGAAATACGTTACAGGTGTGACCCCAGCATGCAAAGCTGCTACCTTCACCAGACGGTGGAGGAAATCAGAAACACACCAGGCCAAGGCCATGTTGAATCCATAGTGTAGGAAGTCAGCGTTTGAAGTTTTATATCTTTCACATACACTGTGTGTTTTTTATAAGAGGTAGTTATCCAAATAAAAATGAGCTGTGATGAGTATTAACCACAAACTATGAAGAAATCAAAGTATCACTTTTTAAATTATTACTTACACACAACAACAAGAAAATGATTCATTTAGAGAACTACCTCTGGCCATTCATTTTTCTCACTTTTTAATATATTTTATTACCTTTTCCCTTAGTTTCCCTCCCAATTTTTCAAGCCTGCTTATATCCACTAAACTTCTTATTAGAAAGCCGTGCAATGTTTTTGTTAATATGATATAGTGTCATTATTGTTATTAGACAGACACAGAAACCACTCCCAGAAGTCACATCTTTTCTTAAATTAGCCTTCCCTTTCTTTCCTTTGTCTTTGTTAAAATGATCCCAACCCTTTCAAATTTTGACTCACTGAGGTAGAGGTATGGTACATCTTGAAATCATCACATCTGACCATCATCAAACACACACACACATACAACCTTTAGCTTATTACGCCAGCTAAAACTGTTGACATATGAGATTTTGAATTAACTTGGTATGAATTAAATTAATATCTTAATTAAAGAAGAAACACTGAAAATTTAGATTATCTGACACACAATCATTAAATTATTGCAATCACCTCTGTAACACCACTGTTTGGTCAGGCGTTATGATGCAAAAGCAAGCTCTTACATGCCAGCCACACGAAAAGGTGAGAGACGTGATGATGCACGTGGACGTTTAGATGAATTTAGCATGCTTGAGTACTGTGTGCATCCATGTTGCACAGCGAGGAGGAGGCCAGGTTTAGCATCTCTTCAATTACCAGGAGAGGCCTCGTCTCGGCGTCCTCCAGGGCCTACCTGTACCTCCGCTGATTAGTGAGCAGTCACAGCCCCAATTAGAGAACACAGGAACCTGGAGAGACAACACTCTTTATTTAATTGGATTGTGTTGCAGTCGGAGGCTGCTAACTGGCAACGTATTGAAGCTGGAACTGTGGAGAGTAAACAAGACATTAAAGATAGAGAAGGTCTTCAGAAGCTTTGACAGACTTTTGTGTGATTGTAAAACTTCGGAAAGATTTCTTCAGTCGTGGAATTATCTCTGTCTCTCTCATTTTAGTCAAAGGTTACTTCTCCTCAGAAAGGGTCATTAACACACCAGTTAAATTTAGATAGTTATGTATATGGAAGTAATAAAGGGTGGACTAAGTTTACTCTTTTTAACCTGATGTAAATGTGAAGGATTTAAATGCAGAGCATAGATAATAACAAATATTATAAAATTAATCAGATTTCACAGAAAGGAAAAAATGGTGAATGTGTTGGTTTTCATTTGAGAGTACAATTGTTATTTCCTTGTGAATGGTTATTTTATAGTTAATGTAACTACCAATATCATTACCAATTAAATAGTATGATTTTCTGTGATTTGATGATATTGGTGGCGAGACTATGTAGCTTTTGAAAGAAGACCCTTCCTCCTGCAAATGAAAAGTTAAACTCATTAAACAATTAAAGCACACTCGTGTTCATTCAAACACATTAAGGTGTTTTGTTGCTACAGCCTGACTTGGTCTGTAATGACCAGTAGCTTATGGTCGCTAATGTTAGCAAACTAAAGGGAGGCATTGCTGTATATCTGACATTACTTTGTCAGTATAGTTGTGCTACTGTTTCACTGTGTTAGTTAGGATGTAATTGTCACTTGTGGCCATAGTGGTTTCTACTCAGCAAAGGTTAAATATTATCGCTTTAAAATGAAAATGTCTTTTGGATTTTGTAAATTTGTAAGAAAAAAAACAACAAAGACCCAACAACACACAACAAGAAATCAAACTTCTTGAAACTTTCTGTTGCATTTAAATTTTCAATCCAAGACCACAGTCAAGATATGTTTTTTTTATTGTTGCACTTTAACATTCAAGATAGTGAAATTCTCAAAAGGTCTCTTTCTCTGTTTTTTTTTTTTTTTTCCACTAAACCCTCTTTTTCCACAGTTTCCCCTTCTTGTAACATGTGGCACATAACAAAGACATCACCCTCATAGTGTGGGATAGTAGTCTACCTCCAGGCGCCTAAGGGACACTGGCTGGCTGCTTGGTGCTGCCAGGATCCAGACAGTCCAGTTTCTTTCTCTGCAAGTCAGTCAGACCCCCTCAACTCCCCAACTCCCCGAGCCCCCGTCACTCCTACCTCTGCCTAATTACCAAACCTAAAACCCCACTCGACTAATTAGCCACAGCAGACCCAGGAACTGTGAGTAAAGGTAAAGAGATGGCTTCATTCAAGAGTGTGTGTGTGTGTGTGTGTGTGTGTGTTAAAGAGGGGGAGAGTGAGAGAAAGAGACAAGAAGAAAGGGAAATGGAATATTCAAGCCTCCTTTAGCGAGCACATCTCTACAGCCAATTAAAGTCATTTATTAAACTCTTTGCGAAACCTGAGTTGTGCATGACAGAATGATAGGGGAATGTGTTTGTTTGTGGATGCGCATGTGTTTCTGGAAATGTAGATGTGCGTAGGGGCTGCAGGCTCACACACACAAACACCCATCCTCACACGTCCACATGTGTCTCAGTATGGCTGGCAATCTGTCGGCTTTTCTGTCTATCAGCGGCGCGAGAGCTCAGTGGGACATAAATTACAATATGCAGCCGAACCACTTGTGTAAGTCTCAATGAAGGGGAGGAATAACTTTCTTAATCAAGTTCCCCTGATTAATTGTAATAAAGGTGTCATCCGTAAATGTGTCCTCCTGATTGAGTAATTCGGGGCCGGAGACAGTAAGCACATCCCTGGTGATTGGGGGGTTGGACAGAGTGGGGGGAGGAAGGTGTGTGGAGGACATACTGAGACACAAATAGCTCCTGGGCACACTGGCAGCCTTCGCACAACTGACAGTTATGAAATACAATTATCAGTGTGATCTGCTTAAGAATTCATCAGCGGCTTCACCGGCCAGTAAAGACGTTCGACGAGAGTCGGAAAGAGACAGGGAGGGAGCCAGGGAGGGAGGTGACACAAGAGGAGAGAAGGCCTCACTGATTAAATGAGATTTTTATTTTGTCCAGCAGATTGTTCACATTATGTTACACTATTGTGAGAGGATTATCTTTTCTGTTGTTTTCTTCTGTAAGAATCACCGGTGACAAACCCATAGAATTTTTAAAAGGTTGATCTTTATACTTTAGTGACTCAGCAAGCATTGATTTGGTGATCTTCAGATCGAAAGATGACTTAAGGTGTAGGTTAAAAGCCGGCTAAATTTGGTTATAAACAAAGGTCCAGGTCAGCTGCTCACAACCTTTTTGGTTTGTGGTTCTTAAAAATGAAGCAAAGTCTTCTTGTGACCCCTTGTCACAGGCTGCAAATGTGTGAGCAGTTCAACCAAACAGTGATGTGCCCTTCGGAGACCATTTCATTTGAATAAGCATTACTGGCTTGAGTTATCTGAGTTATTATTTTACAATAAAGATCAAAGATTAGAGAAGAGTGAGAAAAAATTCAAATCATTTGACTGTTAACATACACATATCTGCAGCTTAGGAGGACTAAGATTTGGTTGAAAGCTCTGGAAAACAAAGGACCTTGAGTTGTTTGTTTGTTTTTTTGTCAAAAAATACTTTTTTGGGAGCACAGGGAGGCAGCCTGATAGCTTACCTGGCAGCGTTTATGGCCCATGTACCAAGGCTGTGTCCTTGCTGCAGCGGTCATGGGTTCAAATCCAACCTGCAGCCCTTTGCTGTGTGTCCCCCTCTCTCCCCCTTTCCTGTCTATCTTCAGCTGTCCTAGCCAAAAAAGGCAAAAAGCCCCCAAAAATGTGTTTAAAATCATATA